CTCCTGGTGATTGGTCCAAGTCATCCAGCTGGTTTTTATGCCTAAGGTGGAACTAGAACTCATTATCTCCCGGTGATTGGCTCAAAGTCACCCAGCTGCCTCTCGTGCCTGAGGTGGGACTGGAATTCTCCACCTCCCAGTTTCTAGCCTGGTACTATAACCACTAGACCAAACTGGCTCTTCCCTAATCAGAGAGAGAGAGAGTTGATAGGGGTTTGAGAAGGGCAGACATGTGCCTTGTTTTGGGGCAGAACATTTTTTTTTTCCTTACAGCTTTATTATTTTTTTTAAAAGACAAAAGCAAAGAGACAGGGGAATAACCATTATTAAAAATTCAAGGATGGTTTGCAGAAAAGAAAAATAGAGACGCCTTGGATGCATCGTGGCATATTAAATATTTAAATGTTAAGAAATTAATTCCCACCCCGAATTCTTTCAACATAGCGTGTCTCTCTGTGTGTGTGTCAGATAAATTTCATTGTTAATAGATATATATTCAATATTAGAAAAATAGCAGCCTGATTAATAAAAAAAACCCTTTGCCTTTTTTTTATTGGCATTCAGGTGTATCCATTTATGAATCACCCCAGAAACCATCGTACATCATCTACATCGTTAGAGGCAGTGATAATAAAAGGTTATTTATTTTTAATTCGTGCAGATATCACATCCAATGGTTTCCTTATTCAATCCATTATTTATTTATTCAGGGTGTTCCAAAGGTTCCCCTTAAGGATTTGGACTACAGCACAATTTTATCTTGGAAGCATGCAACACCATTGTTATAAGCAAGAGGCACAATAATTTAGTAAGCAACTCTTACCTCCTCACAGCATTTTTGTTGTTAGGCAAGGAAAGAATAAAAGGACTGCCGTGTTAACAATGTACCGACAGGGCACTCAGTAAATGGATGCATTACTTGGTACTTTTTATTTATTTATTTATTTTTTACACACACACACACACTCACAAGCACACACACAAAATCAAAATGAAGGGCTGGGACAAGGAAACGATTCTTATTTACTTTACAACAAAAACTAAGGTGTGACCCATGCCATCCATCCATCCATCCATCCATCCATCCATCATCTATTTATCCACACACACACTATTATTCATCTCTCTCTAATATGTCTTTCTCTAACATTTGTCTATCCATCTATCTACCAATCAACTCTCCCTCCTTTTCTCTTTCTCTCTCTCTTTCTCATCTGTCTGTCTCTTTCTCTCTTTCTACACACACACACACATTCTGCCTCTATTTGTCTGCCAGTCTTTAATGTCTCTCTCTCTCTATATATATATATAAATATATATCCCTAACCCTATCCACCCATTTACCCATCTCTCTACTCATCTACCCATCCATCCATCCATCTATCTATCTATCTATCTATCCATCCATCCATCACCTATCTATCTACCTATCAACCTACCTATCTACCTACCTATCCCTAACCCTATCCACCCATTTAAACATCTCACTATCCATCCATCCATCCATCCATCCATCCATCCATCCATCCATATCATCATCTCTCTTTTTCTCTCTCTCTTTCTCTCTTGTTAATAAAGGGTATCAAATTGGGTTCTTCTGGTACCAGGGAAGGACACCAGAGGGACAATGGCCATCCTTTTTGCCCTCAATTGGAAAAACCACAGCATGCATCTTGGGGTACATCCCATGCCAACCTTTTATCCATGGGAAGGGTGTAGCAGTTCCATCCATTTACAAAGTGCCCTGATACCAAGAACCATCATTCACACATGATATTAAGCCTGATGCATAGATCACAACACAACCCACAGTTCACAACTAAGCCACAGCCAGAATGAAGGAAATCATCTACATGCAGAGCACGTGAATTCAGGAAAATGAATCAAGCCACGTTTCATATGGTCAATAAATTAAACATGTAGGGAATATTCTCTCTCTCTCTCTCTCTCTCTCTCTCTCTCTCTCTCTCTCTCTCTCAAAAGGGATGTAGTAAAAACTAATCTTCCTTGATTTCTCATCATGCACATGCATTGAACAAAACCCAGATGTTCAGGCTAGATTCAATTTGATTTTTCCCTTCTTTCATCCTTCCACCCCCTAAATCTCCCTGCTTCTGTTTCTTTTCCATTGCTAAGCATAACCAAGTATTTTAAACTCAGGATTTATCTCCTATGTGGTCCTGGTACTATACCTTTTGATAAGAAAGCCAACAGGTATGGCTAAGTACAGCAGGTAGAGATTTTGCTCTGAGGGGGGGCAAGTTAGCAACTAGAACAAACCAGGGGGTATGATTCTGAATCTCCTCCTTTGGTCTGATACCTTATATCCTATCCCCGGTATCTCCAGGTTGGGCATCACAATAGACAAGATAAGGGATGAGCACTGAATTGCAAACTCCGTCGCATTTTGTAGCTGCTTCACCCAGAAGTTCAAAAGAGGTCTAGTCCACCATAGAGCTTCATCTACCATCCTGAAGATGGTATTCTTTCCTTGCAGGTGTCCCACAGGTGCTTATTTTCAGGAGGTAACTGGACTTTCTTGTTTTCTTTCTTTTGAAAACGTTTCGCTTCTCATCCAAGGAGCTTCTTCAGCTCAGACAGGATGGTGGGGAATGGAAGGATTTATATTCCTTGCAGACAGCTGGTCATTTGCACCCTTTTAGAGGATCGTTGAGGCAACCTGGAGGTTTATCCATGTCCTCAGGGCCACCTGTGGAATGAATGCCCTTCGAATGCTGGGAAGTATGAATGGATTTCCAGAAAAATTGCAGACTACAGGAACGGTTTGCAACACTCAGGTGATCCTGAGGGCACAGAGAAACATCCAGGTGGCCTCAACGGCTGTCTAAAAGGATGCAAATGACCAGCTGTCTGCAAGGAGTATCGATCTTTCCATTCCCCACTATCCAGTCAGAACTGAAGGAGATTCTTAAGATGAGAAGCAAAATGTCTTCAAGGAAAGAAGAAACAAGGAAGTCCAGTTGCCTCCTGAAAAAAAAGGCACTTTTGGGACAAAGATGACTTGGAAGACTGAGAAATACTACAGACTTCCTTGCAGATGCTTTTGACTTCGATCATTCTGTACTGTTCAACTCCCTGGCTTCTTATGTAGACTTCAACTTGAAAAAAAGACAGCATGTAGACATGGCCACTGCTTGAATTCCACCTGCCTTGGATAGACCAAGTCGGCTCATTACCCCATGAAATCTACATTTTCAATGTCTTTCAAAAGACTTTTTTAAAATTATTTTTAATGTCTTTCTTTCAAAAGGCAACTGGACTTTCTTGTTTTGCTTGAAAATATTTTGCTTCTCATCAAGAAACTTGCTAGCTATGCACATTGGGATGGACACCCTTTGAATGGTGCGGAAGTATGAATAGAAAAATTGTAGACTACAGGATTCAGTTGGCCCCAGGGACACAGATAAACCTCCAAGTGGCCTCAATGGCTCTCAGAAAGAGTACTAACAACCAGATGACTGCCAGGAATATAAATCCTTCCATCCTCCACTATTCAATTAGAATCGAAGAAGCTTCTTGGATGAGAAGTGAAACATCTTCCAGAAAAACAAGAAAGTCCAGTTGCCTTTTAAGAGAAAGCACCATTAGTACACTTTTAATATTCTTTTTTTTATAAATAAGGCCAGGAAACTGTCATAATTTACTGAGGACTTCCTTTCCCACTTCTGTAAGCCTGTAGGTGAACTTGAGTTCTTATTAATATTAGGAAGTAGTTTTCTTATACTGCCTGAGTCAGTGGTGGGATTTAATTTTTATTACTACCAGTTCTGTGGGCCTGGCTTGGTGGGTGTGGCAGGGGAAGGAGACTGTAAAATCTTCAGTCAGAGGTGGGATTTGCCGGTTCTCAGAACTACTCAAAATTTCCGCTACCGGTTCTCCAAACTGGTCAGAACCTGCTGAATACTACCCCTGGTCTGGGTTCAAGAAAATCTTTGCAGCTCCTGAATTTTGCTATCACTGCATCCATTAAAGAAAAAAAACTTATCCTTGACAGGACTCAAAAGATTAAAAACATCAAATTCTGACTGCAGTGCCCTATTTTATAAAGTTTGGATTGCGGGCAATGAAAAACATTCCCTTTTATTTTGTCCGAAGTCAAACTGGAAAAATTACCTCGTCTTTTCTAAGCTAATACTAATTAAATAAGAAATCTGGATTTACAATATCTCCTTAACGATTATTTTTTTGATGAATATTTATGATGAAGAATAGTGTTCCAAAACGAAATCTGCTTTGCCCAATAGTTTTGCCAGCTTTCGGATACTATTGTGATGAATTAATTTCATTTTGGAATTCATTAACGCAAAGGACTACGACATAAATGTTAAGGCAACTCTGCTAATTCTCTCCACTAGCTGTTTTAGTAGAAGGGACATTATGTCTCAGCTGCATAAACTATTGCAGAGACTCTGGAAACTGTCCTTAATTCCTTTTACGCACGACAATGGAGGCAATTCCAAGGCTGCTGAACAAAGCACAATCCACCACAGGCCCCTTTGCCTTTTCTTCCCCACCGCCCCTTGGTCCAAGGCTGTGAAATGATGGATAAAAAAAACAGGAAAAAGAAAAGTTCACCCACCTCGGAGTGCTTGCGCCAAATATCTATGTTCTTCCGTTGAGCTTTGGAGAAATGGTCCCAAGCTTTTTGTCGGGTGGAGGCGTTGAAAACGGCCACAATCTGCTCAACTTCGGTGAACAAGGAAGTCAAACAAGACAAGCAATTTATGTTGTGATCGCTAAAGGAAAGCCAAGCAAAGACACGGGGAGTTCTACGGATGACGTCACTGCTGGAATGACCTCATCCGCGACTTCCGATCGCGTGTCTTTTCTGTACTTACATTTTAGAACTGTTGGAGGGTTCTTCCTTCCAGTCTCTCCTCCCAACTTTAGTCTACACGGGTGGCACCCTGGTTACCGACAGTTTTTCATGCCATTAATCGCTTCTCTAGTTGTTACAGTCCCTGACTGGTATGCGTGGAATGCTAAGTTAGGGGTGAAGCTATGGGAAACTCCATTTTTAGCTTCCGAAACTGTAATTCTAGAACAGAAGAACTTTATCGCCACTTTGATCGGCATACATTAAAGTGAAGTTTCGTGGTGCACAGCTCTCGAAAGAGCGTGCCTCCAATATACGCTGCATAAACATGCCCAAATTAATAAATACAAAATTATGCACATACCCACATATAATATATGACACACAGAAACAACAGTCTAGTTCTAATGTATACATGTCCATGGTGAGAAAAGCTAACCTTGTGAGTTTACCGAAGGGATGGCTTAGGGAACAAAGCGGTTATAGAATCTGGTAGTCCTGCTAGAAATACTTCAAAACCTCTTTCCAGAAGGGAGCAACAGAAATAGACCACGAATTGGGTGTGTGGGGTCTCTCACAATGTTTTGAGCTCTAAGCAAATAGCGCTGATAAGCAGCATCCTGAATAACAGGAAGTGAGATAATCTTATAATGTTCTCCACTGTCCTCAACCACTCTCTGTAGGGACTTTCTATCTGAGGTGCTGCTGCCACCAAACAGGGATGCAGTTTGTTAAAACACTCTCCATCGTGCCTCTGTAAAAAGTGGCCAGGACAGAAGGAGAACAGATGCGCTTTCCTGATCTGTCACGGGAAGTGCAGATGATGGTTTGCACGCTTCATTAAGGATGACGTGTGTTCAGATTGTTAGTTATCTGCACACCCAGATACTTAATACTGTTCACCATCTTTACAATTGCATCCTTGATACTGAGTGGAGTCTGACTATGTCGGCTGTTTCTTTTACCCAAGAACATGCCCCAGTGGACTCGGTGGGACTTATTTTTTAGTAGACATGTATAAGATTGTACTCTTATTGAAAGTGTGAAGGAAATTCCCAGGTTGGAACTTGAGTTAATCTGAAGAAGGGAGCACCGTTCATTTAACTGTCCCTTTAAATGAAGACCTCTCTCTTTATCTACCTTATGGGCAAATGTCTTCCACATTTTAAGTCTGCTTATTCCCTCGCATTTGCAAACTGAGGATCTACAGTACTAAAGTGAACTTATGATTTTTACAGACCCAGCGAAATTTAAATATGTATATTGCTAATTTACATAAGAAACATGGGAGATATTAGAAGCCCGAAAGATATCTACATTTCAAATCATATTATTTTCTTTAGTTCTTAATTCTAATCTCTCTCTCTCTCTTTCTCTCTCTCTCTCTCTCTCTCTCTCTCTCTCTTTCTCTCTCTCTCTTAGATATTACATTTTCAACTCAAAAGGTAACATTTGAGGCCACCAAGCAATTGCAAATACAATGTCACTCAGGCCTTATAAGTAACTAAAATAAAAATATTGCAAATCTAATTCTGGAGTTCCACAGTTGACAGATTCAGTATAGCAGCAAACTGACAGTTAATTCAGAAAACATATGTATTTCATTTGGGCAAAGGGATTTTCATATCTGCAAATCTAAGAGAAACTTTTTTGGAAAGTGAATTCTCCCCTCTATACTCCAATAAGACTCTGGTTTGTGTTATAGCTGCAGAAGTAATTTTTTTAAAATCTTCCCCATTGTTTTTAATTATGATCCGATAAGCCTTTATGATAAGCTCTGTCTCGGTGCTGATTTAAGAAGGTTATTCTGGATTTAACTGAATATCTTTTGCTTGGACTATGGATTGTGCAACTTGAATTTTACAAACTGATTGTGCGATGCCCAAATCTGGTTCTTGATACTGACCGCAGACTTCTGATTTCCCAAAATTTAATTTTCCCCGCCTTTGGAACTGCTGCATAGAACTACTTGTGTAACACTAAAATTAACCCTTGGCTGAGGTTTAAGGCCTGCTTAGATTTAAAATGGGCTCCCTTCAGCCATGTTTCTAAAATCTCATCTTTTTTTCTGCTGACTTCACTGTCTTGCCTTATTGTATCGAAAAAGCAGATGCCCCTTCTAAGGAATTAAAATTGACAATTCCATATTATAGGAAATTCCACCAGGATCAGACCAATAAAACAAGTCTGGATGACAATTTCTCCTTTTATAAGGATGGAATTGGTTCTACTCAGCACCAAAGGTATATCTGCAACAAAGATATACCATCTGTGTTCCTTTAACACCGAGTTAAAGCTGTTGGTTGCAGGATTTCCTACCTTCAAAATCTTGTTCCCAAGAACAGAGTTTCTGGATAATTTTTCTATAACTTTAACGTTTTGGAAGCATCCCTGGAAATAACTGATCGTTAAATAGCTTTCAACCAAAATATGGAACAATGGCTCTGAAACTAGCGCACCCAGGGTCTGTGTCAAATGTAATGTGATAGTTTTATTTTTAATTTAGCTTTTTATTTAATATATGAAACCTGCATGCCACCCTGCTGTCAGCCATCAAGCAAAGAAATCACAGTAAAATCCATTTTTAACATGAAGGTAAAAAGTATGACGAAGCAAAGTATTTCACTTCCTGCTCCTCTTCCTCCCGTTTACATGAAGAGACCAACCAGAAAAGCATTAGAAGATGGTGGGTGGGAAGCGGATAGACACTTTAAGGATAAGAGCAAAATCAATGAAGGTCGGACAAGAAGCCATGGATGGAAACTAATCAAGGAGAAAAGCAACCATGAATTAAGGAGAAACTTCCTAACAGTTGGAACCATTAACCCGTGGAACAACTTGCCTCCAGAAGTTGTGAATGCTCCAACACTGGAGGTTTTTAAGAAGAGATTGGACAGCTATTTATCTGAAGTGCTATAGGGTTTTCTGTCTAAGCAGGGGGGTGGACTAGAAGACCTCCAGGGTCCCTTCCAACTCTGTTAATCTATTATCTGCCCACCCACCCCTCTCAATACCTTAATATCAACTCTCTGTGACAGAGATCTAAGCCAATCTTCACGGTACCCAGCTTATCCTAGGTACGGTGAATCCAACTGCTAAATGATATTCCAAATTGCATGTACTTACGATTCAGGTTTTGTATTTCACCACCTTATTAAATTAATTGGAATAAGAATAGGAGACCATGAAAGGGTTATTGCGAAGGAATTTATTTTATTAACAATGTAATTTAGATTCTAATCATTCTTCTGTTGCACCCATTACAAGGGCAAAGAGCACTGAACTTAATCAACAACCGGGGTGTAATTAATTAATGGCAGAAGGCTCTAGAAGAACATTTTCTTGAAGATGTGAGAAAAAGGCGCACTGCTATTTTAAGGGAAGGTGTCTATTAAGCTCAGAAGCTCTTGAACTTTTAAAACGTCTGACTGTGAAAATATCTCCTCTCAATTCTAACTACAGGTCTTGACCATGTTCTGGTGGCTTCCTGGTTGACTTGGCTTGTTGGAAGCCAACAGATGCCAACTCAGATAAATAATCAAACAGCCAACAAACAAAAGCCACATCAGGAACTACCAAGAACCACCAACCATAGAGAGGCAATCCCTTCTAGCATTGCTGATGCTACCTAGTTGGGTCAAGAAAGGTCTGCAAGAAAACAACCAACCTCAGAGAGCACCAAGGAGCCCACAATCCTCCTCCTCCTGCTCCTCCTCTCTACAAACTCCCCTCTCCTTCTAGCACTGCTGATGTTACCTACTTGGGTAATGAAACATCTGCAAGAAAACAGCCAAGCTCAGAGAGCCCTGAGGAACCCACAGTCATCCTATTTTTCCTCCTATCCTTCCTCTTCCTCTTCCACTTCCTCCTCTCCAAAACCCCCCCTCCCTTCTAGCACTGATGAAATGACTTAGTTGGGTAATGAAACATCTACAAGGAAACAAACAAAGTTCAGAGAGGACCAGGGACCCCACAGTTCTCCTCCTCCTCTCCTCCTCCCTCCTTCGCTCCCTGAAACCATTACGCCCTTCTAGCACTGACAATGTTACCTAGTTGGGTCATGAAATGTCTGCAAGAAAACCACCCAGCTCAGAAAGCACCAAGGAGCCCACAGTCCTCCTCCTCCTCCCCTCCTCTTCTCCACAACCCCCCCTCCCTTCTAGCACTGATGATGTTCCCTAATTGGGTCATGAAATGTCTGCAAGGAAACAAAGCTCAGAGAGCACCAAGGACCCCACAGTCCTCCTCCTCTTCCGCCTCTTCCTCTCTGCACACTTCAAAAAGGGACCTATGATGGTTTTTCACACTTACAATCCTTGCAGCATCCCCTTGGTCACATGCTGAACATTCAGATGCTTGGCAACTGACTCATATTTATGACAGTTGCAGCACCTGATGATTCTTGACTCTTGACGAACGTCTGTTTTCTTTTTATGTACCCTGAGAGCATTTGCACCAAGACAAATTCCTCGTGTGTCCAATCACACTTGGCCAATAAAAGAATTCTATTCTATTCTATTCTATTCTATTCTATTCTATTCTATTCTAT